AATTTAGAGCCCAGCCTGAGCAACTCAACAGTTTAGCAAGAGCCTGTCACAAAATAAAATTTTAAAAATAAATAAAATAAAATGATTGGGGATGTAACAGTGCAAAGGCCTGAGTCCATTCCCAGTGCTGGGGAGAAAAGAAAAGCAAGTGTCACATAATCCAATTTTTGTAACATTCTAGAAAACGCAACCCAATCTCCAGTGGTACGAAGCCTCTCAGGGGCTCTGGAGAAGGGGCAGGGCAGGGGAAAGAGCATGAGGAGGACGACGAAGCTGTGGGTGTGACGGACGTGTTCGTTAGCTGTGCTGGGATCTTCCATGTGCGCTGTTTATGATATGTCGGTTACAGCTCAGCACAGCTGGTTTTTGAAGAGCAGGACAAGTCCACGCTGTCAGTAGACTGTGGCTCCCTCGGTCGGGGACGGGCATTAACTAGGAGAGTGATGCGGGTAATAGCTGGGGTGCTGACCACATGGTGTGTGGAGTAGGCGACAAGCATCCATCTGTCTTCCGAGGACTTGGGAGTTTTGGTGTTTTTTTTGTTTTTTTTTTTTTTTGCTTTTTTTTGTTGTTGTTTTTTTTTTGTTTGTTTTTCTTCCAGGACTGGGAATCGAACTCATGATCTTGTGCTTGGCAGGCAGGTGCTGTGCCACTGAGCTAAATCCCCAGCCCCGGGGGCTTTTCAAATATAGGTGATACTTCGAAAGGAGGCCAGCTAGCAGCTGCCTGCTTGCTTGGGGCTGGCAATGCCGCTCCCTAAGGGAGGCAGGACCACAGCTGACCAGCATGCAAGGCTCTGTTCCAAAATCCCAAGCTGGTCTGAGACTGTCCCTGGGCAGGGGTGCGTGTGGTCAGAGGAGGTGGCGGTGGCCACGTCTCTTACCTTCTGCTGCAGGTCTCTCATCTTTCTGGATCTTTCTCCTGGACACTCAGGGCTGGCTGACGCGGGCCCTGGGCCTGGGGGCTTATCTCCGTGCATCTCTGTGTCCTCTTCCTGTCCCCAGTGTGACTTCGGGCCAAAGAACAGCCTGTGGGCGATTTCCTCTGCGTTTTCTAGTCGGAGCCCCAGCTGGGAAGGGAGGCCAGGGCTCAGGAGAAACCCAGTTCCACAGTGACTCGGGCTGGACCAGGGGGCCCAGAAGCCTTGTGCAGGTCAAACCTTGGGAAATCCGTCAGGCTCTGCACCTGCATGGCACATGGCACACAGCAAGAATTCCCACCCATCCCTTCCAGCCTGGTTGAAATGCCACTGCTTCTGGGGCCCCTCACTGACCACCCCTCCCACCTCATCAATCCCTTCCCACTGCCTCACTGGATGTCTCCACCTGGGCCTCCAGCACATGGCTCCACGGTCAGACGCAGTGCTGTGTCTTGTGGGTCTCCTTACAGGGTCCTTCATGAGAGCAGGGATCATGGTTCATCCATGAGGCACCCTCAAAATTTGATGGATGGATGAGCAAAGCCTCCTTTCAATCCCTCCTTCTTCCTATCTGCCCAACCATCACTCCTTTGCTCCTTTCATCCTTCCCATCCATCCGTCCACCTACGAACCTGTTCCTTCACCTTCCATCTATCTGTGTGTGTGTGGTGCTGGGGATTGAACCCAGGGCTGCACACTAAACTACATCCCCAGTCCTGTTTGTGTGTTTGTTTGTTTGGAGACAGGGTCTCACTAAATTGCTCAATTGCCCAGGTTGGGTTTGAACTGGCTCCTGCCTCAGCCTCCTAGATTGCTGGGATTACAGCTATGCTTGGCTCATCTTTCCTTTCCTTTATCCTGTCCCTCCTTCTTTTCCTTCCACCCATACATCCATCTGCTTTCTCTTCTTTTCACTTCATCCTCCTCCGACCCAAGGCAGGTGAGCCTGACGGCAGGCAGGAGAAATCTTGGAGGCTGAGCCTACCACCCGCTACTGCGTGTTCGCTAGGCCCGGCTCCCTGTTGTTAGATGGAGCTAGGACGGCACAGAGCACCTCCCTCAGACTCCAGGGACATGGGGCCAGGAGGCGGAGAGCCATGAGGCAGTCCACTTGCCGGAAATGACCCCTCGAAGCTGCCCTCTCTTCCACTGTCACCCCCCCAATCCATTTCCCACATGACAGCCAGGGCTCAAACCGCATCCTCTCCTCCCTGCCCCAAGGCCCTTCCAGGCCTGCCACACCCTCTCTGCCTGACCCACCACTCTCCTCTCACTCACTGATCCCCACCTATCCCTCAGAATGCCACGCCCTTCCCCTTCTGTGGGCCTGGGCACTCACTGGTCCCCTGGCCCAAGTATGCGCCTCTACCGCTATGCAGTTTTAATCTCTGGTCTCAGCACGGAATTCACCTCCCTGTGGTGCTAGAGCTGCCACAGCTTTCCCCTGGGTTGGCTCACTGTCATCTACCTCCCTCTCTGGGATGTGGACAGGCAGGCACTGCCTCTCTCCACTGTATGTCTGGGGAGCCCCGCACAGCACCTGTCACTCTGTCGGGCAGAGGAGGAATGTTCACGCAGTGGATGGTGGGAAGGTGGACAGACAAATGTGGGTGGATGGAGGGTGGACTGGTAGGTGAACATAGTTGGACAGGTAGGTGGGTAGAGGGTGGAGTAGAGGAATAGGTGAACAGATGCGGGTGAGGTGTGGGGCTGGATCGGTGGGTGGATGGGTGGGCTGACAGACAGGAAGTTGGGACAGATAGGTAGGTAGGTAGGTGCGGGGTTAGATAGACGAGAGGATATGAGAGTACAAGGTGAGACAGGTAAGAGGGGACATGGATGGGTGGGTGGACAGAGGATGGGTGGATGGGCAATGATGGATGGCGGAAGGGCCAGGTGGAGGGGTTAGACGGATGGAAGGAGGCAGATGGGGGAGGAGTGCTGGTACCTACTGTGAGTGGGTGAAGAGATGGGCAGATGGGTGGGACAGTGAGGGCAGGGAAGGACATCTGGGGTAGAACAACAGAGGCAAAGGATGAGTGGACAGATAGAAAAATGGGGTCATTTCTGGCCCCAAGTCCAGGGCAGGTCCTGCAGAAATCACAGCCAGAGCCCCTCTTACTTCCAGGACGTTGAAGGCCCGGTCCACAGCACGGACGGTCAGGTTTACCACGGCAGATCGGGAAAGGAAGGAGGCGGGAGAGAAGAGCAGCGTCCTCCCCAGGGTGGCTCCCAGGCTGCCGGACCCTGGGAGAAGAGGGGGGAATCGGTGGTGCGGGCCATCGAGGGCCCATGGCCTCAGACAGACCAGACCCACAGTGCACCCGCAGGCCAGGATGCGAAAGAGCCTTGCGCCTTATGGAAGGCAGAGAGAGGTCAGGACAGAGGGCCACACACTTCTGAAGGTGGAGAAGCGGCATTGGAGCAACACTTCTTCACACGTCTCAACGTGGCAAAGGGTTTAGGGGCCTCTGCTACAAAGATTCTGCTTTAGATGCTCGATTTAATGACAACAGAGGGAAAGACCATTCTCGAAACCCCCAGCCTGCACAGGGCAATAGGACGCGGGAGAATTCTCCAGAAGCCCTTCACTGGCGCTCCATCTCCTTGCCTAATCACCTGCTCGACACCAAAGGTTGGACTCATCTCCTACAACAGCGCCGCAGCTATGTATTCTAATAATATAGAAATTTCCTTTCTAAAATAAGTAGAAGTTTTAAAGAGCGCATTAAAGCCCAGTGTGGTGGAAGCACGCCTACAGTCCTAGCACTCTGGGAGGCTGAGATAGGAAGATCAAAAGTTAAAGCCCAGCCTGGGTGACTTAGCAATCTCCAGCCCCACAAACATAAATATATAAGTAAATAAATAGCCAACTGAGAGAAAAGATAGAAGAAAGAATTCAGTTGAGTGCTCAATCATCAGGGAGGTGCCTGTAAGTACTTAACACTTGGGAAACCCTTGTGCCCTGGGGAGGGGGCATCCCGGGAGCCCCACGCCTTGGTGGCCACAGCAGCTGTACCTGAGCGGAAGGTGACATCAGAGTAGGATGAGTGTTTCCAGGTCTTGGGGTGGAACTCCCGGCTGAGGATGTCCTGGGGGAGGGCGTCCTGGAGCCAGCGCTTCAGGGGGTCGGCTGTCTCCAGCAGCTGCAGGAGGTGACTCCATACGAAGGAACCCACTGCAGCGGAGTGACAGCAGGGCCTGGGCCCAGAGCCAGCACACCCCGGAGGAAAGACCCTCCGACCCCACCCAGCCTCCCCGACTCCAGGAGCGGAACCTTCACAGAATCTGGATCCTGGCCTAGGCCCGGGATTCTGATGAGCCTTCCAGAAGGGAAAGGATATGTGGTGGGTCAGCCCTGTCCGGAAAGTCAGACCCCATCTGAATCCCAGCTGCAACACTTACAAGCCGTGTGACCTCAGAATGGTCACTCTCTCTCTCTCTCTGAACCTCAGTTTCCTCATCTGTGAAATGAGCCAGGCAGGCCTCATTTCAAATCCTACTTTACTGCTGACAAGTATGGCCTAAGATGGGCACCCTGCCTTGCCCCACCTGCTACCTCGTCTGTAAAGTGAATAACAACTCATCTCACAGAGAAGTCTGTGAAGATCAGTCAGACCCTGGACCTAAAGACTAAGTATCCTTTGGGGTAGATGAAGGGGAGATGCGCAATCCAGGCTGGGGACCCTCTCAGGGTCCCTGGAGGGTTGAGATGAAATAAGAGCACCAAGGAGCACAAGTCCAGGAGGGCTGCTAGGTCCAGTGGGACCCCAGCCCTCTCAGCGGCTCAGGCCCTCAGCAGGCCCAGCGGAAGCTTCTGAAAAAGGCCACCACAGAACAGGGCTGGCTTTCAACCTCAGGAGGGGAGTCTTTTCCTTTTCTTTTTTGCAGTGCTGGGGACAGAATCCAGGGTCTCACACATGTGAGACAAGCGCTCACCACTGAGCCGCCTCCAGCCCCCAGGGGACCCTATATGGTCACGCATTTTGCCTCAGCATTTCGCTTCAGGGAAGAGATCCTGAAGTCAGAGCACACAGAGCCACAGGTGGCCACACAGGCAGCTCTGTCTTGCTCGTCACCTCAGAAGCAGCCTAACCAGCCCAGGTGCGGCCTAGTCCTGGGGATCATGGGACAGGCTCCCCACAGAGCACCCTGCAGCTCCAGGCGCAAGACCTCTGGGTTGTTGCAGGGAGCACAGGCATGCCTGTAACATGATCCCAAGTCACTGCCGATGTTAAGGAGACATGGTCATGTGTCACTTGGTGACGGGGACACCGTCTGAGAACGGTGTTAGGCAGCTTTGTTTACAACCATCCGGGTGCTGTTGACTGAAACATCACCAAGCTGTGTGTGACTGCACAGGTGTGTACTGGTGTCCAGTGTGACACACCAAGAGCCATCCACAGGGAGCAGCCATCAGGAGCCAGCCTGGGGCTGGGGAAGAGGCAGCTTTAGCTCCCGCTCACCCTGTGCGCGCTCCGAGATGTGACCGTGACACGCAGTTACACTGCGATGGTGCAGCAGCCAGGAGGGGGACCATGACACCCACGGGCCACGGCCCCTTTCCTGCGCCCCCTGCACTAACTCCAGGGTGCCACCCTGGTCCCTGTCTTGCAGATGTGGAAATGGAGGTTCCGGAAGGCTGGCGGCTTCCAAGGGCACGTGTGGGCAGGGCTCTTGGCCCACTGTGTGTCACCCACGTTTTTCCTTCTGCCTCTTGAATTCGCACCTCTAGGTTCAGGAACGTGGTTCCGATCCCCCGTCTGAAGGGAGCCGCCAACTCCAGAAGGGAGCCGACGTTCTCAGGCCCTGGTCCTCCCCCGCTTTGGTCTCCGTGTTGTGAGGTGGGACCTTCGTGACTTCTACGTCATTTTGCAGATGAGGAAACTGAGGCCTGAAAGGAGAAGCGACTTCTCCAAAGTCACCCATAGGACTGGAATTGCCCAGAAGCGGAGATGGCACCCAAGGCCACTTGTCTTGATGGTGCAGCAAGAAAAGAGGCGGGGAGGGGGAGGAGCCTGCCAGCCCCTGTGCCCCGAGGTGCCCCAGCCAGCCCTGCTCACCCTGAGTGGACTGCTTGTCCGCCTGCGTCCTCCGCACCACGGCGAACACCTCCTCCCTGGGGCACCGCATCAGGGCAGGTAGGCGTGGATGCGGATCTCGGCGTCCTCCACGGAGGCTTTGTAGAGGTGGGAGAGCGCAGACTGCTGGAGGGGGAGAAGGCAGGCCATGGCTTGGTGTCCCCCCTGGAGGGCACTGTCCCCTGACCTGGCCCTGTCCCCGCTCTCACAATGCCCCTACGCGGAGAGCCAGGGCTGGCCAGTCACACCCAACCCCCAGTCCTAGCCCTAGTCCTCACGGCCCTGTCCACGCCCACGCACAGCAGTACATTACCAGACCCACATAGCTGCACTCTGGTGAGGCTTTAGTCACAGAACCAGTGTTGGGTCTGACACACAGAAATGTGTCTTGGTGCCCACAGGTCCCCTTCATAAGCAAGGCACCTCGCCACCCTGTGACCATCTTCCTTTACAGCACAATAGGCATTTACTGAGCACCTACTGCATGCCTGCCACTGTGGGAGATGACACTCTTGAGCAAGGTCAACCCAGCCCTCAGTCACCTGAAGATCGTGCTCCAGCAGCATGAACAGGACTGACATGTGAAACATATAAATGATAGGAGGAAAAAAACATGTTAGGTGGGGGAAAGCAGAAAAAAGAGCTGGATTCTCTGGGGACTTGGTAAATTCAATTTCAGGTGAAACAGTCCACAGAGACCTCACAGTGAACATGGCTGATAAGCTCATACTTACAAGAGGTGCAGGAGTGAGGCTAGGGACATAAAGGGGAGAAGATTCCAGGACAGGGAACAGCATGTGCAAAGGGAGCCCTTGGCCTGGTGTTTGAGGAGCAACAGAAAGCGGAATATGACTGGAATGGGGTGACCACTGGAGATGAGGTCAAGAGGTGCGAGTGGGTCAGAGGTCAGATCACACAGGACTCAGGAGATCACTGTACGGACTTTGATCTGGACTCTGAGTGACAGCAGGGCCACTAGTCCAGGGGTCAGCAAATTTCTTCTGCAAAGTGACAGGCAAGTGGTATTTTTCAGGCCATGTAACATCCGTGCAAAGACGTAACTCTGCAGCTGCAGCAAGAAAGTCACCATAGACACCCTATAAATGAGCAGGCATGACTGTGTGCCAATAAAACTTTATTTATAAAAACAGCAGCCTAGGGCCGGGGTTATAGCTTAGCGGCACAAACCTCTGCCTGGCAAGCGCAAGGTCCTGAGTTCAATTCCCAGTACCGGGGGGAAAAAAAAAAAAACAACAGCAGCCTGGGGGACAGCCCCTGGCCTACAGTTTGCCAATCCCTGCACTAGGAGGTCAGAACACAGGACAGGTAAGCATATGCTCATGTGTGTTTACTTGGTAAATAATCTCGGGGACGGAGACCTGGACACCTGTTCACTGTATCGCCCACCTGGTGCCCCATGCTCAGAGGTGCTCAGCAAATCTGGGACGAATGAACAAAGTGAATCAGCAATGGACTCAAGCCCCGCCACTGCCCAGTCCCGACCCCTGTGGGAGAGCACCCAGGATCTCACATCTGCAGAGCAGGGGACCCTCCGGAGGGCCTGGATGGCGCCCAGCCGGATCTCGAGGGGGTTGCTCGCCCGCGTGGCACAGGCGCTCAGTGTGGAGGTGAGGGCCGTGGCAGCCAGACCAGCATTGCCAGTGGCCTTCAGCATGAGCTGAAGCTGGAACAAGAGGGCAGAGGGCCATGAGGCCTGGGCAAAGGAACCGGCCGCAGCCGCTGGTCTGGGACTCGCCGGCCATGCTCAGGCTGGAGTGGAGCCCACACACAGCCTGTGCTCACCTGGCTGGCGTCCGAGGGCTTCCGGAAGACACAGTCTGCACCCACCGCCTCGCCGAGGATCCTCACGAGGGAGCTGATCCCTGGCGGCTGCCCGCAGGGCCTGTTCAGAGCGGCACAGAGGTTGTGCACCAGGGCTGAGAGGCCAAGGACTGCGCTGGGGCTGCTTCTGGGGGACTGCAGCAGTGGCTGGGGACAGACACCACCGCAGGCTGGTGAGCGGCTCTGCACCAGTGAGCAGGGGAATCTGAGGGTCCATAACCCCCAGAGGTCCGTGATGCACACCCAGGATGGAGAGCCGCACCCCTGGGCTAACGGGGGACAGGGATGCTGGTAATGTCTGCAGACATTTTTGGTTGTCACGCTGGAGTGGGGAGGTACTGGTGGCATGAGGAAGTGATGAGGGAATCTGTGGAACGTCCTATAACATACCGGGCCGCCCCCCCCCCACCCAGCAAAGAATTATCCAACCCCCAGTGCCAACACAGCCGAGGATGAGCACCCCAGGCCAAATTACCAGTTGGGACGGCAGGGCAAAGGGCTGAATAGAACCCGCAGAGGATCCCGGCCACAGCTTCCGCTGCCCGCAGCATCCAAATTCACAAATTCAAGCCCAGGGGGCTGGGGATTTTGTTTGGTGAGATTCGCACCAAACAAAACCCAAGTTCTGGCTGGGATGGAGTAGCAAAATGAGCGAGTGAGCCTGCCTGCTTTCCTGTGGCCTGCAACAGCATGGGGTGGGGGTAGAGGCTCCCCTAAGGCCCTGTGATCCCCAGGGGAGGCCACAGCCCAGTAGCATCCCCGTGTGTGTGCATCTCGGGCCTGAGTGCCCCAGCACACATGCGTGTGTGAGCCCTGGTGTCTGGGTGAGTGCTCACGTGCACTGGCAGGCATGTGTAGCCATGTGCGTCCTGGTAGGCACGCATGTGTGTCCATGCATGGGTGGCTGTCCCATGTGTTCCCGTGTGAGCGCTCTGCTGTAGGTGCCTACACACCTCCGCTGTGTGCCTCATGTGTGCACATGTCACCACGTCTTGTGGAGTGGGGCGTGTTGAGTGTGGGTGTCCGTGTGAGCGTACTTCTGTGTGGCACCATCCCTGCACGTCCATGAGCGAGGCCTCGGTGAGCATCTGTGTCGCAGTATGTGGGTCTGTGAGTGTGCACAGCCCCGTGTCAGTGTGCATGTCCCTGCCCCTCCGTGTGCTGGGTCGTTTCCCGTATGTGTGCACTTGTGCCTGTGTGTGTGTGAGCTGGTGTGTGTGTCTCCATCTGTGTCCTCCTTGTGAAAAGACAGCGAGTACACAGCTTGAAAAAGCACATTCAATTTTTTTCCATATTTGAAAAAAAAAATGTCCTTGTTTTCTTAATACAGAGCGGGGAAAGCAGGGCCTGGCTGGCGGGGCAGGGGTCAGACACGGAAGCTCCGAGAGCACCCGAGGACGGGTCCTGTCTGCCTGGGGCTCCTGCCTCCGCCACTATGTCCCAGGAAGGCTGTGCACCCGGCAGGCTGGGCTCGGCCTGTCCCAGACCCAAACAGGAGCCAGAAGCCCCACCGGGCCCTGCAGAACCAGGGTGTGGGGTTGCTGCCCGGCTGGCTGAAGCCCCACATGGTGGCCCTACAGACACAAGGAGCTCAGCATCAGCCAGGCAGTCATGACTTGGTTCCATCTGCTGATGGCTGCCCTGGGGACACATGCAGACTGGCCAGGCTTCTTCACTGCACAAAAATCAGAAGCAGATCTTAATGCAAAAATTTATGATTTAAGCCGAGTGTGATAGTGCACATCTATAATCCCAGCATTCGGGAGGCTGAGGCAGGAGGATCACAAATTCAAGCCCAGGGGGCCGGGGATGTAGCTCAGAGGAACAGCTCCTGCCAAGCAAGTGTGAGGTTGTGAGTTCAATTCCCGGTACCAGAAAAAAAAAAAAAAAAAATTCAAGCCCAGCCTGAACAATTTAACAAGATCTTATCTCAAAATAAGAAAAAGGGCTGGGATTAATCCCCAGTACTGCAAAACAAAGAAGTGGGAGGTGGCAGGTGCTGCAGGGGAGAGACTCTGGGCTGCCTGTGAGCTGACAGACTCCAGCTGCCTGACTTAGTGCTGCGGGCCTGACCCAAGCGCCTGAAGCTTCACCCACACGACTGCACACGCCACAGCCGCATCATTCAGAGAGCTAAGCTGAGGCCTGGATAAGGTCAGCGTCACGCCCAAGCCCATGCTGGTGAGGGACAAAGTCTCTGTTTTTAGCCATGATGCCCATGAGGAGCTGAGGAACAAATACGGTAGGGAGGGGAGGAGGGGGAAGGGAGAGGAAAGACAAGACATTTTCACAAAGCCAACCCCGCCCAGCACTGGCTAAACCCCGGGCTGGCTGTGGAAGGTGCTGATGTCTCCACTGATCAGCATGCCACACACGAGGGGACAAACCCTTGGGATGCCTGTGGAAGCCCAGCCCAGGCCCAGCTCCCAGCTGATGCCTGGGTCACATCTACTCAGCAGAGCCAACCACACCCACCCCTGGGACGGCCCTGCTCAGAGCCTGGACAACAGCCACAGCCACAGCAGCTCCAGGGACGGACACGCCTGCGGAGACCCCTCCACCAGCTCGCCTTGCACTGGCCGAAGAGTACTTCTGCTGCCCACTGCCATCCAGGCACAGCAGGATGAGGAGCAACAGTGACACTTTTGCCCCCAGCAATCAAGGATGCACCCTGAAGTCCACAGATGGGCAGAGCAGCTACACCACCTTGGACAAGCTGCCCATGTCTCTGAGCCTCAATTCCCTCATCTGTAAAATGGGCCCATGACAACACCTACTTCACAGAGCATCTCAAGGGTAAATAAGGCCTCAGACACTGGTATACATTTCTGCCCTAGTTACACACGTTTCCCAACCTCAGGACTTATTAAATATGAGTGTTTATAATAACAGCAGCAGCACTAGTCCAACACACTCAGACTGCATGCTGGGCACCTGGAGAACTGCTTCACGGCGGTACAGCATCGCTCTCTGAGACTCAGGTGGAGGAACCAGTCCCATCCTCCCCTTACAGACTGGAAAACAGGCTCAGAGAGGTTAAGCCACCAGCTGGGTTACACAGCTGGAAAGCACGTTGCTGACCCTTGAACCTGACACCAAATCCTATCATGAGCGCAGCACAGAGGCCCGGGGAGAGGAAGGTGCTGCCCTGCTCCCGGGCTAGGAAGGGCAGGACAAGAGCAGGTCATCCGTCCCCTGCATCCAGTCACCCAGGATGGGGGGCGGGGGCCAGGTGGGCTGGGGCTCACCAGCAGCGTGTTCACCATGGCATCTGTGGGCCGCAGGATGAAGGCCAGTGACTGCAGCTACGCCTCTGCCTCGTGTGCCTCCACCTCCCCGGATGCGATGAGCTCCTTCATGAGGCCCACGCAGGGCTCAGTGCCGCAAGAGGGCAGGGCGTCCACCAGCACCTGCCTAAGATGGTCCGCAAGGTGATGCGCGTGTTCTGAGTGCCTCTAAGCCTCATCTTGCTGTGACCTTGCGCCATCCGGGGGTAAACTGAGGCTTGGAGAGGGCAGGAGGAAGATGCCCACACTCAGAGGGGAAGCAGCCTGGCAGCTGCCGGGGACCCTGGCTGGGCTGTGGCTCCTGGGCGCTGCCTCCACTGCTCTGCGGAGCCCAGTAAGGCAACTTCACCGACACCCCTGGTGTTCAGCAGGAACCCCTGACCGGTCCGCTAGTGGCCTCTCACTTAAACCTCTGACACTCTCAGCCCAACACAAACGTATTTCGTCGTTCTCATTTTTTGAGATTGCAGAAAGGTGGAGAAACTGTGAGAAGAAGCTGAGCTGCTAGCTTTTGCAGCCTGGGACATGCAGACTGACTGAGGTTGGCTCCCTTGATCAGAGCAGAAAGTTCGGGGCCCCTGAGGCAGCGGGTGTCCAGGTCGGGTACAGTACGGTGGAATGGATCGGACCCCCCAGCCCCGACAAGAGCCAGAGGCCCCACCACTCCATACCCCATCAGCCTCACCACGGCCTGTGGGCCTCATGGGGACGGCGGTGGCTGGTCCTGCCCAGGATGACCGTGGGCCCTAGGGAGACACCGGCCACGCAGAGTGAGGAGCACCCTGCCTGCCCTTCCTGCAGTTCATCTTTGGGGTTCCTTTGCTCCCTGCCCATCTGGGAAGCTGGGCTCCAGGGGGCACATGGAGGAGCGGGCAAAGGCGACAGAACTATCTCTGGTTCTCTTGGAAAATTTCAGGCTTGGGAAGGGCCTTTTCCTCACTGATGGGACAAATGAGATAGACACAAGGACTTGTGGGAAAACCCAGAGTGACCAGGGAACCATGTCACCAGGAGAACAGGCAACTCTACACAAAGACAGGGACACCTCTCCCTACGAAGAGCATCACTAAAACACGATCAAGTCAGATATCATTTACATTTAAGACATAAAGCCGGGCGTGGTGGCACACGCCTGTAATCCCAGCACTCGGGAGGCTGAGGCAGGAAGATTGTTGCGAGTTCGAGGCCAGCCTGGACTGCAAAGTGAGCTCAAGGTCAGCCTGAACTGCATAGCGAGACCCTGTCTCAAGAAGACCAAAAAAAAAACAAAAGTGATACATTTAAGACATAAGAATTGGACGGAAAGTACAAACCACCTGGGTTCAAACCCCAACTGAGTTGTGTGACTTTGGACAGTTTCCTAACCACTCTGTGCCTTGGTTTCTGAACTTAAAATGTAGAAATAATAATACCACTTACCCCATGGGGCTGCTGTGAGGATTGGGTGAGCAAAAAAAAATGGTTGAGAAAGTATCTGCGTATTTATTCTTACCTGTTATTCAGTGAAACACTGGACGTGGTTGGCTTTGCAGGAGGGAGGACTTGTTTCACGTTTTGGAGTACAATGTTTTCAGGTCTCTGAGGATTTTTGCAAGGCTTTAAAAAGCCTAGAGGTCTGAAGTGTGTACCTCAGGAGCCTGGAGGGTGTCTACAAGGTGACCCTTGCCCAGCCCAGGGCGCCCAGAAAGATCCTTTCCCAGCTTGGGGCTCTTTTCACCTGTTCCATGAGCCCCAGCAAGGGGGCGGCAGTGCACCCCAGCCCTGCCCTTCTTCCTGCTTTGGGATGCTAATTTTGGCTCCTGCAAGAGGGTGCGTCTGGAGGGGGGAACAATGGTGTCTTTATCTGCTGGCCCCTCTGTTTCTATTCTCGGCCAGGGCAAAGCTTGGGCCTCCTGGGAAACCCCAGGCCCTCCACTTAATCCCCTCCCTGGCACACATCCCCAGACAGAGGGGCAAGTCAGCATCACAAGGTCAGGAGCAGAATCAACACCTGTTCTTCACCGCAGACCCAGGACAGCACTAAGGCCACTGGGCCCACCCCGGGGGTCCCCCAGCCGGCCCGTCCCCGCTCCACTGGAGCGAGGCCCTCACTGGTCCCCGCATTTGAAGGAAGAATGTCGCCAGAGTTCCACCAGCTCATCCACAGAAAGTCCCTGGAGCCCAGATACCAGCGTCAGGAACAGCTCTGTGGCCTGGGAATCAGAGGGGGCAGCGTGAGGTGCCTGTGGCGTGGGGGAACCCCCAGGTCCCCTCGCCCGGCCCCTGCTTCCAGGTGGGACAGCGGGGAAGGTGGGAGTAACACTGAGGAGACATGAGATCCAGGAAGGCGAGGCTGTGTGTCAGCTTCTGTGCTTGAAGCCCCGGCCCCTGGCACCCAGTCCATCTTATTCTTTAATTTAACAAGTACTTATCAGGTGCCTGCTGTGTACAGGCATTGGGCCAAGGATGTGGCCATGGAAATAGATAGGATGTCCACATTTGCAGGCTTTAGAGTCTAACCAACACTCAGTACCTGTTCAATATAATAGTCAATTAGTATGTGTTTTACATATTTCACATATTTAATAAAGTAGCAATCTTTTCTAATTTTTTTGGTTCTAGGGATCAAACTCAGGAACACTCTATCGCTGAGTTATATCCCCAGCCTCTTTTATTTTTTAGTTTGAGGCAGGGCTTCACTAAGTCACCGAGGTGGGGTTTAAACTTGGGATCCTCCTGTTTCAGCCTCCCACATTGCTGGGATTACAGGCATGCACCACTTACAGTTTTTAATTAAAAGCCATGTACTTGTTTTTGAGAATAACAAGCAGTGATGGCTAATAAAGGGTGTTTGGGGGTCTTCTGCCCTTATTGGAGGCCTAACAGACACATCTGCTGTGTCCAAAAGCTCACAAGGAAGGAAGGAAGGAAGGAAGGCAGGCAGGCAGGCAGGCAGGAAGGCAAGGATGGTATTCAGCGTGCAGCACCCCCGGTTTCAGGAGGTGTTTGCTTTGGGAAACCTACCGCTTCCCTCCTGCATCTCTTTTGTTCTGACTTTACTGCTGCAGCCTGAACCGAAGCCGGGGGAAGAACAATGAGGCAGGGGACAGGCCAGACCCGGCTTCTGGCCAGCAGCCCACGCTCACCCCAGCTTGGCCTGAAGTGCCCCGGCCAGGGGTCTGCAGATGTGCAGCCCACAGTACACATGGGGTCTCCCCAGCTCTGTGCAGCTTTGACTGAGTCCTTGGTCTCAGCAAGATACAGCCGCAAGCCAGAGGCTTCACAGCCAGCGTGGCCACCCCCGAGTCCGAGCAGCCTTCCCGCAGTGTGCTTTCCGGGCGATGCCAGCGACCCCCGCCCTACGCTGATTTCCCCTGCAGGACACACAGCCTGCCCTTGATGCACGCAGACAGCCGCCGTCCCAGCTGGCCCGGCTACTGGCGGCCTCCAAGACTCTCTGTCGCCCACTTCAGGGGAGCCCCCCAAGGGTTCACAACCCAAGGCCTGTTTCTCCCCTTCCC